TTTCACAAACGTCCCATCCGTTCGGGTGTACCGAGGGGCCCATGGCGGTAAGGTGGGGATAGAAGGGGGGCCTGAAGCAGAAGCAGAGCCACCAGCTGCAGCAGGCCCAGAGGGAGCAGGAGCTCTGATCGCTCGGTGCAAGAGAGCACCCGGCCCGGAGACCCGGGTCCTTCTAATGAGAGGCTCCTCCTCAGGATCGACTTCACTGTCAGGATGAGGCCTTTTGCCTCGTTCTTTGTCCCGACCGCCCCCCGCAGCAGCAGGAGCTATGGTAGCTGGGGGGGACGCGTTCTGGTTGGCAGCAGGGGCGCTGGCAACAGGGTTAATAGCCACTGCGCTCGGGACAGTGTCAGATATGGTGGCTGAGGAAGAAGCTGACGCTGGAGAGGAGGTCGCCCCAGCAGCAGGAGTGGCTGGGGGAGTATTTTTCTTCCTGCCAAAAGAAGGAATCTGAAGTCTGCTCATGTTGTAGCCGAGTGATGAGAGCGCTAAGAGGTTGTCTGAAGTGAGGAGATCTGAGCAGGAAGGAATATCGTTCAGAACGTATTTCTTCAAGTAGTTACTCCTATCCCTGCAAACACTATAGCTCAAGTCATCACAAGGTATTCCCAAGGAACGGCATAAGAAAGTGCAAAAACGAGGAACGCATGTTTCGCAGGGGCAGTCATGTTTATGAGATTTGAATTTCTTATAGGAGGAGACAGAACAGACACCAAAGGCGCTCGGGATTGGGTAATCCTCTGCAGCCGGCGAAGACCAAGCCCCACTAATGCCCACGATGCTATCCCTCCAACCCTTCTCAGATTTTATTGTGTCCGTACATATGGACATCTTCTCGAACGGGTAGAGGTGGTAGAAGGGTTCGTTAGTACGGATCTTACTGACCTTATAGCACAGAAGGAGGTCTATGAGGTCGAGGTCCAGATTTCTGTCACGCATCAACAAGAGCATAACAGATATGATTCTAAAGAAGTTGGGGTTGACCTGCAGAGGGGATATCCCCAATCTATTGAAAACATAACTAAAGAAAGGGTGCAGAGGGAACCTAACAACATTCAATTGAAGGTTCGTGAATAAGACTTCGCCGGGCAGGAGGCCGGCGCCGATCATAATGTTAACGTCCTGGGGGCAAACCCTAACTTCGATGTTGTCAGGAAGTCTAAGTCTCATACGAAGAACATCCAGATCTACAACCATGGTGGAAGTGCTTGAAGAATCTAAAAGGGGGTAAATGGAAGCCTGCCGAAAGTAAAAAAGAACGAAACTAACCTCGGAGGACTGCAAGATCGCTGGAAGAATGACTCTTGAAGGATTTCACCAGAAAAAGCTTAGCGCTGTTCTAGAAAGAGAGAGACTTGACTGATGATGGAGACGGTAAAGGGAAGTGAAGTGGAATTCTAGAACATTATAAAGGCGAGGGGGCCCGAGGGCCGAAGCGTCGGGAATGCGAGAAATTCCTCGAGCCCCGGAACATTGATTCTGGATCTGACCGTCCGCTCCCCCACGTGGTTATCTCGAGCCGTCAACATCATGATGAGACGCCATTAATAATTACCCCTTATTAAATAAGGGGCAATTATGGGGGCAGTTGAGGAGGCCCCGGACGACATGGGCCGGATCCGACTCGCAAACACTACATTCAGTTCGTACAGCTGGGTCGGCCCATATAAAGACACTGCCATATGGGCCGAACGCGAGTAAGCCCATCAAAGGTGACCAGGACTTATGGAGAGATAGGCCCAGATCCAGCAATCAGTAAATATCTTGTAAATATCTTGTAAATATCTTGTAAATATCTATAAATAGGATAAGGAATGGAAAGGAAGGGGATCTTTTTGGGTTGAGGTGTAAGAATTCTAGAGAGAGAAAGAGGGGAACGAATTTCTTGCATCTTCAGTAGTTATACATTTTCGGTAGACACAAAGATTTACAATTATATATATATATATATATATATGCAATGCCTTGTCATACGAAAATTCATACCACAATTATGTCAATATTGTTTCGTAACAAATACAGGTGAGGAACAAATATTTTTTTAGTTAGGTAGGAGAATAATTATTGTATGCAAATGTTTATTCCTATGATCATTATCATTTAGGCTTTATTCCTATGATCGATGGAAGTGCTTCTTGACACGGAACAATAGGCATAACCAAGCTTTCAATTAGTCAATTGCATATAACTTACTCAAATTCAATTTTAGCTTCATTAAGTCTAAGTCAAATTAATTCGATGTACTTCATTTGAATTTAACCACCACGCTTGGACTTCTACTATAACATTATACGACTCTTTTAATCATGGGATTCTTTCGACCGATTCAGGAAGTTGTGAGAGGTGGGTTAATTTTTTATTTTATTTATTTATTTTTTTGTAAATTTAGGGGATAAAGTGAAAATTTTGTAAGTGTATAATTGAGTGGGCATGTAATAGTAAAAAATAAAATAAAAAATTCAATGGGAAATTTGCCCTCACTAACTATGGAGGGAAAAATCTTCCTCCAATGAGGATCCTCCACATCATTACTGTAAATTTATATTCTTTATATTGCGAGGGCCCAATTCATATCAAGCCCAAATTACAAAAGCCCAATCCAGAACGAGCCAAATTGATTCTTCCTTTAGATCAAGATGACTAACATTGGCCTTCCAGCCCATTATTCAAGCCCAGCTGATTTAAGATGCATTCAGCCTAAGCTATTTAAGAATGAACAAGTCGTGTGTAATAAGGGTCATTTTGTCCCACATCGGAATCGGATGGGAAAGAGATTGGGTATAAATGGGTGGGTATGCAGCTTTACCTAACAGTTCGAACTTTTGGGTAAATGGGCAAGCGCCCACCCGTTACAGTTGGTATCAGAGTCAAACCTAGTCCTTGATCCGGTGCCACGCCAAACGCCCGGCCCGGAAGGCGTCCGGGTAAGTCCACCCAGGTAGGCAGGGTGGCCCAACCGCAATGAGGACGTTGCGAGTTTGGGTGGGGGAGAATGTAACAAGGGTCATTTTGTCCCACATTGGAATCGGATGGGAAAGAGATTGGGTATAAATGGGTGGATATGCAGCCTTACCTAACAGTTCGAGCTTTTGGGTAAATGGGCGTTACATCGTGTCAATTGAAGTATTCGTCATAGAACGTAAATTTTATACGAGAAAGACCCGTAAAAAGTGAAGTCTAGCATGGAAATATGTATAAAAGGAAACAACATTATATATGAAATGTATTAGAGGGTAAGAGGGTAAGCAATGCGAGTCCTACCATAATTCTACCACCTTTTTTGTTATAAATAGAGGCTTAGACCTCCAATAAAGATCATCGAGCAATATACGCTTTTATCTGAGTATTATAATTGCTTGCTTTGAGTGAAGGTGACCCCATCCGTGAATGCTTTTCATGTAATAGAGGGCCGTGTAATATACTACTCTCTATTTTTTTTTTTTACTTTTTTTTTTTGGCTATCACCGAAACTCACCAACGGTCCCACATGTCGAACCTGAAACATGAGCGCTCCCAGGTCATTACTTTACTAACTCGGTCAGGCTCCCGAAGGCCATTTTGATCCCTAGTTAGCCACAAAAATTATTTTTAATGAAAAATCAATTTTAAAGTGAAAAATCTTAGCTGATGAATAAATATGAATGTGACCAATAAAATTGAACCTTGCATCAGTTGAATCTCCCATTAATATGCTTTACTGGCAACTTACTTTTCATATTCGTCATAAAGTGGACTTTAATAACATTGTTCATGTCTGATTTAATGCACGCACACAAGTAAATTAAACCTGCTTCTCTCTCTCTCTCTCTCTCTCTCTCTCTCTCTATCACCATTGGGAGGTGAGAATCGACTTACATTTTAGTGCTTAGCACGAACAACTTATAATTGAGATTTTATATAATACAGAAGGAAAATTTGTCAAGGAATTCAGGTTTAAATAATAAAGATAACCCGAATTATGTTTAAATTTGTAAATAATTTCTGAATTATATTTTATACTCCTGAACTATCACATTTCATTACAAAATGTCCCCCCATACCTCTTATTTGATTCTAATTTCATTAAATTATTATAATAACCTTTTTATTAAACTATACTTAATTCATTTTTTATTAAAATAAATTATATAAAAAAAAATCATACTATTTTGATGACATATTCTCATCTATAAATTTACCTTTAATTCTTGATATTACTTGTTTTAATAATAAATTTAAGTAAAAAAATTAAAAACAATTTACTTAATTTCTTAAGTTTTCATGAATATACTACATGAAAAAGAAAATATTTTTTATTTAAGTATTTTTTTAATTTTTCATGAATATATTGTATGAAAAAGAATGTTTTTTTCTTTTTTTTTTTCTTTAAGAAAATTCATAAGTTTTATTATAAATTAATAAATCTATAATATCAAGTTATTCCTTTTATAAAACAGCTAAATTTGGTGGTAGTTACAACTTTGGGTATTTTTTTCATTATTATGATAAATTAATATCAATAACAAATTAAGGTAAATGGTATAATTAAAATTTAAGCAAGAGAAAAGATAATAAAGATAATTGAATAAGAAAAGACAAATTTTAATTATGATAAAAAAAGAAGAATATAAATTTAATAAAAATGAGTAAAATTATCTTTTGTGCTATACAAGTGGGACGTAGGAATTGGTCACAAGCTTAATGAAGGTGACAACAGACAACACAGAAAGAAAACCAGTCACAATATATTCATAATAATCAAATATATCACATTAAATTATGAAACACATGCAATGGAAGAGAGTACAATTTCAAAGTAGTTGATCGATCACAAAGCTAGCCAAGAATATGAATTAAGGAGAAATCATTAAATTAAGTAGAATTAAAATTGATCGAGCTGCATCAAATAAGAAGAAGAAATCAATCCAATAAAAATATATAATCTGGCCTTTTTGTTGCTTGAATTATCACTGAATTAAAGGCACTAAATGACATAATATATGCATTATTAATAGCTAGCGCTATTGTCCAAAAAGAAAAAGCTCATCTTCTTCTAGTTGATTGAAACCATCCCATGACAGAATATTGGAATCCACAGTACTATCAACCCATTGCTGTGGTAGAGAGTCTTCTACTTGTATGGAATTAGGGGAATATTCACCCATTGAAGAAGGGTTGAGAGAATCTTCGAAAGAATTAAATGAAGGACTATTAATGTAGGAGGTATTAATGTTAATGGCTTCTTGCAATTGGTTCATCCATAAGTTTCCCACATCCAAGCTTCCACACAACATTTCATAATTATGTAGTAAAAGATCTGTTCCATCATTATCGGTGTTTATTAACGTTGTGGTTTCATTTTGGGTGTCACTTGCTGTTTGATCAGGAACCTTATTTTGGACATGATCATTAATCTCCATCATCATTAATGTAGTGATTACCTCCAAACTTGGCTCTTGCTCTTTTGATGAATCCGGCTCATGATCTGAAGTAGTAGTGGTTTTGGTTTTGTCTTCATCAATTTTATGATCAATGGGCTTGTGGGTCACAGGGTCTAATCCCAGGAGCTTTAGCCTCTTCTTAATACGAGTGTTCCAGTGGTTCTTGATTTCATTATCTGTGCGACCAGGAAAATACGAGGCAATCTTTGACCACCTACAAGTTATGGGATGAAAAGTAAGTACCTACACAAAAACTTATATATAACTTGTTCTAAGATTATATATATATATAATGGTCACGTACAATTTATGATAAAGCTAGGAATATATCAATAAAGTTACGGAATTTAATTTGTCTGAAAATTAAGACCTGTTACCGAGGCGGGCATGGAGTTGTATAATCTGATCCTCTTCCGATTCTGATAGTGCCCCTCTTTTAAGGTCTGGCCTCAGATAATTTATCCATCTTAATCTGCAACTCTTTCCACATCTCAGCAGACCTTCATCACCATACAAAATGCCACCACTTTAATTCATCAAATAACTTGAAACAAAACTAATTAAAGTTTCAAATATATTACATAAGAAATTATGAATTAATGTAGTTACACACACGTACACATATAAATATATATGTAATATAAAGATCTTTATGTGTAATATTTATGCATATAGAGAGAGAAGGGTTTAATTAATTTCATTGTTATGAAGACCTGCAAGCTTAGGAACGGCTCGCCAGCAATGGATTCCATTGTTGAGTACAAAGTTGATGAGCTTGTGATCTTCTTCAATAGTCCATGGACCTCTCTTCAACCCAACTTTATCACAACAAGGTTGCCTCCCCATAATTAATTACATGCAAATTTTAGAGAGAGAGAGAGAGAGAGAGAGACGAACACAAGGGAGAGTGCATGCACCAAATAAAAGGAGGTAGAGTTAGTTTAATTATATATATACTATAATGCAAGCAATTAAAGATTCTCTGCCAGATCATGCAGACATGTACTAAAAAGATGTGTTCGATCTCTAAAGGGGGAGATACATGATCATTGAGAATAATGAGAAACCATGTGTGTATATATATAGTTGATGTCTTAAAGAAAAGCATATATGGACGGTATAATAAAATGGTCACCAGTACAGCTTGTTAATTAGTTAAGAGTTAAGATAATGTGGACAATGTCTTCTTCATTAATTGTAAACTATTCGATCTACAGCAAATTAAAGGAAGCAACAGACGTGGGTCGTTCTATGCTTCGCGGCCCAAGTCTTCTCTTATTGGCTTTTCTTTTTCTATAAGAAAATTAAGGAATATATAATAGGATTCATACATATATATATTTATATGGGACTTTGGACCTTCAAAGCTGGCCAGTTTTGTCGTTAGAGTTACCCTTTCATATATATTATATATACACACACAGGAATGTGTTTTTTTGTAAAGGTATATAGAGAGATATATGCCAATATTGTCATGACATTTATGCAAGTGCTTTACACTGCGGTCAGCAGCAGCTTGAAAGCTGGAATCTTGAACAGTGAATCAATGAAATTTGGCAACCGCAACAACCAACAAAACGTGGTTATGTTATATGTGAGGAAGTTACTAAGTGGGTGCTGAAGTAGATCTTAATCTTTGGTACTGATTTTGTCCAGAATGATTATTTTTGCACTTGAATAATTGTTAACCCAAACTTTAATTTAGTATTATATCAAACAATGATAAATAATATATATATATATATATATATATATATATTTTACTGGCATGTTTCACTCATCCTGTTGATATATAGGGTAAACACAAATGATACACAGGAAGCTTGGCCCTTTACTATAGTGCCAACTACCACCGAACTATTGCTCAGGTGATATGAGCTCTTATTTTCAAAGAGGATGTTAGAGCTTCAAGTACGACATGAGGCAGTGTGGTGCATTTATGTGTTGCTTACAAAAATCCAAAAAACAAAAAAATAAAAATAAATAAATAAAAGTGTTAATTTCATTACGGCAAAATTGAATATGAAGAACCAAACAAATTTACAATTAAAAAAAAAAAAAAAAACTGATTATGGAAGATTCAATGATTGAGGACGGGAACAAGCCGATCAGAAAGAGAAAATGACGATAGGGTTTACAGAATATTTAGATGAGAAATGTAGAACGTATAGCTAGCTCTATTACACTAGTACAAAGCGAGGATGGTGAATCAAATTTTAACCTCATAGAGAGAGAAAGTCACTATCTGCACCATTTTAAAATTATTGCAGATGATGAGCTATCACATGCAATTTGGTTTTTTATACTTATCTCTTTCATTGACTGAGCATCGATCACCGTTAATATATAAGAAGAAACAATGTTAGTAATCAATGTTTTGATCAACATATATGCGGTGACAGATAAATGCATGTATATAGTGATAAAAAGTTGACATGATTCTTATCGAGTGTAAGACAATACTAGGAGAAGGGGTACCAAATAATATATATAATATCACGCAGGTAATAAGTGAGTTCAAGAAAGAATTTTAAGCTGCAACAATATTTTTTAAGTACGTATCGAATATTTTTCTCAATATTTTTTGAAAGGTATAGTTTCAATTATAGAATACATTAATTCATAATGCTATATATATGAGCATGTAGGTTCATGCACTCAGTTTATGCATGCAAGTCAGAAGATTTTTCCTATAATTTATTAATTAATTCTACAATTGTTGTCTTGGAGAAAAGAATACTGGACTTAGTTGTCTCCAGGTTTGCATAATACTAGTACTTAAAAAGGTTTCGTATGTTAATTGTGTGCTACTATTTTGCTGAGTTGCACATAATTAGTAAGACGCCACTACCTACCTACCTACCTACCTAGCACATTATACGCCTTGTTTGAATATCGTTGTCCTCGATCAGCATATATATAAAGAATATTTTAAACCTTTCCTGAGATTGTCCTAAAATGCTTTGAGCATACATGCATGTGAGATTATGTTCATCTATTTCAATAAAAAACACATTGAGAAATGATTTAATTAGTAAGTATACAGATTTTATATGATTCATTCAAAATTAGAACTGAGTTCACCATTTGAACCATTTGAATATAATGTGAATTTTTCTAATTTATCAGCTCCGCACTGCTATTAATTGTTATAATGTCGATATACATCTCAAAATCACAACTATGGAGTAACAAAGAATCATCATATATGCAAGACAGTAGCACAAAAATTGTCGAGAAGAAAACAAGGAAATACTAGAGGGAATAACACAGATCGATATGCTTGTGAATTTTCCAAACTGACAACAAGATAGAAATTGAGTAATCCAACAATTTGCAAGTCCCAATCCCAAAGGCGACGACATAAGCTACTACGAAACATATGTAACTGTGGTACTAAACGTGGGCATCTATAAAACAGTACAATAAATACAAATAAGTTCTTTTCATTTCTTCATCAGAATATTATAAAATATATATATATATATATATATATATTCATGGATAAGCAGGAACATGAAAGGAATATAAGTATGTATGTATGTATGTATGTGTGTGTGTGTGTATATATATATACACAATTATTTTGTTTTGAAGAAAACAAAAGATTTGGTATGGAAGAGCAAAATGGGCAAGAAATGAAGCATATTATTGAAAAGATAAAAGTGTAGATCAACAACAACCCACTTGGATCCTTATTTTGGAAATTTGTCTGGCCTCTCCTGTCAATGTCATGGTAAAATAAAGAGGACGTCACACACACTTCTACATTAAGATTGATTTTTAAAATGCGGTCTAAGGTTAGCTGCCCTAATATGCATATAATTGGGTATATATATATGTGTGTGTGTAAAATTGTAAATGGAATGAGTCACGCTGTATTCAAATTTGTTCCAATTTGACTCGTCTAACTCGATTGGACTTGGGGCTCCTGATGAGCTCATAATACGATTGAATTGATTGGTGGATTTTATTATTATTATTTTTTAAATTTAACACTTGAATTGGTTGTGTTTGTAACTTGTGAACTAATGAAATAAAATAAGAAAGTGTGTGAATATATATATTTTGTTACTTTTTTTCCTTTTTAACAATGAATATGTATAATGTTTTTCAAATTTACAAGAAAATACTTTGACATCAATGTTGAAGGACACGTAACATTAGAAGTTGGAATTTGCTTTAACAAAACTTTCTGGATGAGTTTAATTTGAAATACTTATTTTATTTTTTTAACAAAGGATGTTCCTTTTTCTTTTTTGAAAATATTATTATATGATTCCTGAAGTAATCACTAGTTGACATGCAAATAAAAAATTAAATTAAATAGACAAAAAATTAATATATTCTCCGGAACTATATAATAATTTATCTTCCTTTTGAGTGGATTAATTCCTTCCCATGCTCACAATGTCCATGAAAATTTACTTTGACGTTGGTTCCCAAAACTCTTGACAACAAAAATGACTTAAACCCTCTAAACTTAAGGAAACATGTTTTTCCAGTGCAGCCATAATTGAAAATGCAGCAAAAAGGAACACTACGAGCTCTGAAATCTTAATTAATTTCCAATTGGCTTTCATGAGGTCTCTAGCTCACCACTTGTTTCTAATTTAATTAAAGCAATTTTAATATTATTATCACAATTAATAATCAAAGAGAGTTCTACGAAGACAGACCTGACTTAAAAAGTAAACTAATATACAAAAATCCAAAATCATAACAAAAATCCAAAATCAAGTTGGTGATTAGAAATTAGAGTTGTTAGAGAGTTCTAAGCACCTAGCTAGATCTCTTTAAAAATGCACTTACATCTATATAATACACAAATTATAACAAAATTCCAAAATCAACTTATTAATTAGCAATTAGGGTTGTCAGCAGGATGGTGGCTGGCGTCAAGGTCTAAATCTGGAGTTCGTCATCATATTATGATCTCAAAGTCATATAAAATTAGAAGATAATGTGTACATATATATATATACATATCACAATGAGTTACGATCCATTTTAATAATAATTAAATTAAGAATTTTTTTTTTTTTTTTCAGACGGTAAGTAAAGATTAGTTTATGATGATCATTGTTTGATACTCATTAATATTTTTCCTTTTTTTATATATTTTTTAAATGGCGTGACAACACAAGTGGGCATACCTTGCTCAAGTTGTTGATGGTGTAGAACAAAAGGCCCTTCAATGGCAACTGCTAAGTAGTAAGGTTGAATAATGGGCTCAAATTTAGTGAATAAGGGTTTATTATGGGCTCCATATTCAGTGGTCTAGGCTGAAACATTTTTGGGTTTTAAACCCAAAATTTTAGTAGTCTCTGAGTGCCTCAACTCTCAACCAATTCACCGCTTTATCGAAACAGGAGAGAGAGAGAGAAGAGAGTGAGATTAGAGAAAGGGGGTTTCAGAGATTTTGATGTCTGCAATACAGAGAACGCTTCGCAGCATCCAGACGGCCGTGGAGAGTCCTCGACTCACTAAATTCTCTCTTCACCCTCCTAAGAGTGTAAGCTTCTAATCTTGTTTGCCATCATATTCTTGTCATGTTCTAAGTTTGGTTTTGATCATCAATTTGCATCTTTCTGTGTTTTATTGTTGTGATTTTTTTTTCTATTTTCTGTCCATTTTTTGATCGTATGAACGTGTCCACATGAATTCTTGAGTACCCATATGATAGAAATGTATAAAGTGTATAATCGTGTCATCCAATAGAATTTACTTGCTTATCTAGAATGTCACTTCCATCGCTATTGGTAAAGGGGGCATTTAAACATCTTATGAAAATTGAAATTAAGTCTTCTATTGAAATCTTAAATGCACTTGGTTTGCACTTAAAAAAAAAAAAAAAAAAAAAGGTTCATAATTATTTGAATGTATTGGGAGCAGCATCATTACAATTATAAAAGATAATTGACAATAAATTCCTTCTTCAAATTCTCCATAAACTGAGGGGTTTATGCTCTATTTTCTTTTATTTTTTATTTTTTCCCCTGATGCCGGTATTTGTCTAGTGAACTTGTTGCAAGGACAGATGCTTTTCCATTGAATTTAAACTAGTAAACCTAGTAATTTTATTTATCTTTATTGGGACATAGAATTTTTGACAGCGTACAAGCATGATATTTGTCAAAAATTGGACAGAAATAATAGTTATCTTTATTTGTTTATCTTAACTAGTATGTTTGTGGGTGTGTCCTGTTTATCATGGAATGGTAATTTTTGTTAATTGTTGTTGTGTCTGATCCGGAAACCATTTTGTGGACTCTAAACGAAATGAGTTTTTATTGATGGTAAGGTAGCAGCTTTGAGAATGTTTTTCTCCTATATTTTATGTAAACTTCAGAAAACTGGCATCAAAATCATCAAAAATCAAATTCTCGGTCACATTATTTTGCACTTCTTCAATCATATTAATGTCTTGAAATTCATAAAACCTTAATTGGTTTCACCTTTATGACAAGTAACACCCAACACATTTCTCTGTCAATATAAGTTAACTAACCAGGTCGAAGAGTTTTATCCTCTATTCTTTAATACAAGTTTTGAAGGCATGCCTGCTTTCGGCAATAATACAAGCATTGCTGGTATTTCACTTCTGTCCATTGCTCGACGGCAACCGTTTACTTCATACTGAATGATGACGTTATGAAAAAGATGGTAAATGTTTATACAAGTTTGGAACTTCCTCAGTATTATCAATTCATGTAAATAGCACATATGATATTGTAAAGATGGAATGTCGAGAGAGATGTGATTATAGACACTTAGAGGCTGCTGAATTTGCTAAAGCTATTGAAAAATATCATTCCATCTATGGTTGGTGCTTTGGTTTGAGCCACAGTCCGTCCATATTGTGGGAGATTTGATTACAATCAGGATATAATGTCTAAGGAACATGGATTTTCTAAGTTGTTGTGTCCATTTCCAACACACCGGCACTTATGGAACATATGAACATGTGTCCGACATTTTATGGAGGTGTTCATAATTTTAACAAGCAGCTAACATGTCTCATGACACTTGCTACACATGAATGAAAAACTTGGGACGTGTGGAGAGATGACTTTCTTTTAGCTTTGAGAAAGTATAATTTTGGAAAGAAAGGTTTGTATAGGAGTTAGTTATTAAAACAATTGTGTTAAAATGATATAAGAAGGTTATCAACAAAGTGGGCATGGAGGTTTTATCAACAAAGCGGGCATGGGAAGAGGAGAGAAATCATGTGTAATTTTTTATACATATACATATCTACATATGTGCATGCACACACTTCCATAGGATATGGATGATTATTTGTTATTGTGATTCATCAGCTACAATAGATTGTCGTGTTAACTGGTCATAAAGTAACTTTTTTTTTGTTGTATAATATTTACAATATTTATTTCTTTGTCATGTCCTTTCCTAAGAAGCACGGACATGGATATGACACGGATACGACGATATGGCAAATCCTAAAAAATTAGGACACGGACACGGCGAGGACACGACCAATAAGAAATATATTTTCTATATATATGATGTTGTACTTCAAGAAATTAAGAGTAATATTATTTTTTACAATCTCATAATGAAAAAAAGAATATGTTTTGCTGGAAAAAATTAAGAATGATAGAAAGAGGGTTAAGAAAGAGAAAAAAGAAAATAACAAAGAGAATGAGAATTAGGGTTTTGTTAGAAAAAGAAAGGTAAGAATCCATAGAAGAGAAAAAAGTTCATGGGGAATAGAAGAAAAAGGAAAAAGAGACAAAAAGAAATTTATTGTGAAAGGAAAAAAAAAAAAAAAAAAAAAAGTATTTAGGGTTTGTGAAGAACAAGAAGAAGAAAGAAAAGAATAAAGAGAGAAAAGAGGAGAAAGAGGAGAGAGAGATAGAGAGACCATTCACCGGTAGCAAAGCTTGGTTGGTGGGACAACAAGAGAGTCAAAAGGAACGTGCAAGGGTTCGAACCTTTAAAGTAAAATATAAGAATCAATATCTAATTATTTGAATATAAAATTTTTTATGAAACAACAAGTTTTTAAGTAATTATGTAATTAAACAACTCCTAATATTTATACTTCAACTCAACACTGTTTCTAAAATTTCTTAAAAATCCCCAAAGAGTGGGACACGCGTGCCAGACACGTATACATGACGTGTCAGAAGCGTGTCCATTGCGTGTCCGGGTATTCGAAAAAATATAAAATATTCGGACAAGACGTGTCCGACACATTTCGGGGTGTGTCCAACACGGATTCTTTGCCCTTTTAGGTGTGTCCGTGCTTCCTAGGTCCCTTCCATATCCATGTCCTACTTTTCAAGATTTGTCATGTTGGTGTTTTTGGGTTGTATCTTATCCTTGTCCCATGTCAATTTCCTTATTTTATAGCACAAGGTTGTATGCTTGGTACTGGTAATGTTGGCTTCTGAATTTTTTGCAGTGATTATGTTGGCTTATCTGTCTTATGGTGAATTTGATATCAGGTGGAGGTGGAATTTGCCGATGGTAGTGCGTATAATTTGTCAGCCGAGTTCTTGAGAATACATAGCCCAGCAGTCGATAGTAAGATTAGATCAGTTGGTGGTGAAAAGGTAACTCATGAAACAAATTTTCATCTTTTCCCTGCTATGTGATTTGATGTTTTCCTGGTTTTTTACTTTTACCGTGGTGCGATTCTATACCACTCTGCAACTGTTGTAGAATTACTACAAAAGGGTTAAGGCCAAGCAAGAAAAATACATGAAGTCAGTTTACTACTGATTCATCTCTCTCTCTCTTTCATTATTATTTTTTTGAGTTGCAGAGTGCTTGGCCTTTTTTTTTTTTGTTGGTGGGAGTTCAAACTATTGGTTCATCTTGCCTAGTGTTATTCTGTAAAAAAATTGATCTGAATAACTAATTCAGTCATTAATATTATCAAAGTTATGTTGTACAGGGTGTCCCTTTTCGATTCCTGAATTCATATCTTCTATTCAGTAACTACTGATGTGGAGTCTGGAGTAAAAAATCGGTGTAAACTAAACTTGCTTTGCTTTTTACTCTGAAAGATCAATGTAGTGGAACTTTTTTTTTTAATAATAAACATATTAATTTGTTAAATGTATTGGAACTATTCCTTTAGCAGTTAGCACTAGCAGAAATTTAGTCATGGGTGTATAGTTGCTTTGCTTGTTATAAAATTAATTTCATTATCAATTTGTCGCTCATCAATACTGTGGCGTCCCTGAACCAGGTGATAGCTGGACGTCGCCATGTGGGGATTATGTCTGCAGAACCCATAGGAAACTATGGGGTAAGGTACTTTAGGGTTAAATTTGGCTTTATCAGTTTGAATTCCTTAAAATGCATGCAGTAAAAGATAAAAAATCAAAATCAAAATTTGATTTAATGGTAGTTGTAACTTTTGTGTGGCTGGTACAGGATACTTTTTGACGATTTGCATAAAACTGGGATCTATACATGGGATTATTTCTATCATCTTGGGAGCAACAAGTTCACCCTTATGAGAAATTATGTTAAAACCCTAAAGAAGCATGGACTCAACCGGGATCCACCCAGAAGAAAATGATGGATAAATTTCTCTCTCTAGTGGTCAGTTGACTTGCAGAGTTACATCGGATAACATGATATGAGTTGGCATGTGCAACAACACGTGATAATTTGCTTCAGTCAAGTAAAACAGGTGGTGTTTAAGCACAAGTTTGGTTGTAATTGTTATATGAGGACACGGTTACGCAATATTCTGTATTCACCGTCTCTGTACAAGGTCATGTAGGGCTATAAAAAATTCTCTCCATAATCATCTTCTTCTGCTGCCTGTTTAGGTTTGCATATAAATTCGTTCCGGCTTGTCTGACGTTTTCAGTTTTAGTTGCTGGTAAGCATATGATTACTTCAGGGAAAGGTTTGGCAATCACACATTTTACATCTCTTACTCTAATTCAGTTTACCGATAATGAATTGGATCTTGTTGTATCAATCAAGTACATTTTCTCTGGGGAGTGAGGAACTGCAGTCTATGTTTCACATCTTAAATGTTGACATTTATCATTTTACTCTTAAATTGTTTCTGTTTTAGGTTTGAAAAAATTTACTATGATGGCGGCCTCTCACACGAAGTTGCACCCTCTCAACCTCTAAAGAAAGAGTTTACTGGCAAAAAATTTACTACATTTTCGATTCACTTGCTTTATTCTCATCAATATCACTTTCGACCTCCACAATTTTATCAAAAAGTATATTTTTACATTTTTTTTCAACTGATATTTCCTTAATTGTAAAATACGAATATCGATCTCAATTATAGCGACTTTATCAAAAACAATTAATATAGAGAAAACATTTAAAATTTCTATTGGGAAATGTCACTTCTAACCGCTTAATCGAAAATTAATAAGAGCAAACAAATTAGCATAGCTCTTATCATGATTTTTAGGGATGGCAACGGGGTGGGGCCGGGATTCCATTCCCCATCCCCATTCCCGATACATTTTTCATTCCCCATTTCCGCCCTCATCCCCGCTTAAAATTTTGCCAGAATCCCCATACCCGCCCCCTCCCCCGACACCTTATCCCTGTCCCAGCCCCGGCCCCGGCCTCATAATTTTTTTTTTTTTAAAAAAAACATATTTTTTTCTTATTTTCATATATATAATAAATCTAATCTAGTAATAAATTATTATGTGTAAGTGTCTATTAGTAACTTCACACTTAATCGGGGTGGGGCAGGGCGGGGCGAGTTTATTCCATCCCCGCCCCCAACGGGAATTCAAAATTTTCCCCCATCCCCATTCCCGTTTAGCTAAAAGAATTCGCATCCCGCTATAAACGGGGCGGACCCCGATGGGGATGAGGATTTGCTTATATTACCCAAAATAATATTGGAGATGAAAGTCAACAGCGGGCTAACCACTCTCCGACTAGAGGACCTGAGAAGGAGATAGTGATACCATCTGTCTAAACATTTTTCTTTCGTTTTTACCAAATTTGTTTGACAGGCGATTGAACTCACTCCCAAAACAAGTGTCATGCCTCTCTTTTCTTTTCTTTTCTTTTTTTTTTTTTTGTCCATCTTAAAATAATAGTTCATTTTTTTAAAAAAAATAATATATTTTACATCTATTCATATATGTTCTTTAAATTTTAAATTTCAAACTTGAATATTCATAACTTAAAAAAACAAGTTAATAATTTTTTAGATAAACAATGTCCCACATGTTTATTAGTACGCCCCATAAACAACACTTAAATTGATACGAAAAGATTACGTATTTTGAATATAACTTATTACAATGGTCTGTAATAACTTATAAACTTACCATTAAATTTCTAACAAAATTCATAAGGTGAATTAAAATAATTAATTCTCACCACTTAGATTATCAGATTTTGTAGTGGGTTTTACTCCATCAATTCTGGCATTCCATTAACTATTGGAATTCAATAATTCATTAATTAAACATAAAAAATAAAAAAAATCAAATACGTAGTATGTACTTATTCCAATATACTAAGTTATATATATTATTTAATGTTATTATATATAATATTTACATATTATTAAAATATTGGGAAAAAAAATATTCATATACTTTATTTTTTCTTCTTCTATCCGTCCATTTGTCCCTCCTTATTTAGATTCATTCATAAATAATCTTTCTAATTATCAAATTGGGTTAAAACAGATTAATGTTGTATTGAGAAACATCGAATAAACGATTTAAATTTAAAATTTTTATCTAAATTTAAAATACTAATTTAATACTTCCAAACATAATATATAAATAATTCTCATGAAATTCAGATCGAATAAGTCTGATGGTACACATCCAATCCCTTTGCAAACCTAATTTGAGGTTATAGAATTAATGCGAATATTGCATGAATTGAACCCCAATGTGATACTGTACTAATAATGGTTTGTCACTAGTAGAAAGGTTGGGTGAATGCCAAACCAGATTGAATTGAGAAAGAATAGAAAACATAACACGTGTGTTTGGCAATAATAATAATAATAATAATAGACTACTATAACTCTTCAGAGTAGACTGTGTCAGCGAACCTATTGGTAGCAGCTCGTCGAAGAAGAACTCACGATCTGAGAAACACTTCTTCAAAGTCCACCACCGGTTTTTTCTTTCCTTTAATATATTCATACAAACTTTACTTACCAATCATATCATATGCCACCCATCAATTAAAAATACAATTGTTGTTCAATTCTTTACTGGATCGTTCTAATCACTATCCCCCACAGCAAACAAACACAACAATTAAAAAACAGAAAAGTCAGAGGAGGGTGACCTCAAATCATGAAATTCAAGATCTCTAGACAATACCCATTTGAGCTATCGCCTTGAATTCGCTTCTAATGGCGAGAATTTTGGTAATGGTGGTGGTGGTGATGGCGGTGGGTCTGATGATGAGTGGTGGTGGGTGGGGCCAAGAAAGGGCCCAAGAAGCCCCATGGAGGATCCACACTCTGTTCTCCGTGGAGTGCCAGAACTACTTTGATTGGCAAACAGTGGGGATCATGCACAGCTTCAAGAAGGCTGGTCAACCAGGACCCATCACTCGCCTCCTCAGCTGTACGGACGAGGCTAAGAAGGTTTACAGAGGCATGGACTTGGCTCCCACTCTCGAGGTCCCTTCCATGAGCAAGCACCCCAAAACTGGTGATTGGTACTTTTTCTCTCCTCTCTCGTATTCAATCATCAATTATCACAGTACATTTATATATAGCATTGATTTGAATCAGGTTTTGACTTTTGAGTATTGGGGTATATTGTGATTGTTTTTTTTTTTTTTTTTTTTTTTTTTTTTTTTTTTTTTTTTTTTTTTTTTAATGTTAATGTGTTTGATTTTATCTTATGCTGTCTTTAATGGGTTTTTCTTGTTTTGAGTCTCATTCAGTTGTTTGATTTTATCTTATGCTGTCTTTCATTTCCTATTGGCTCGGCAAGGGATATATATTTTTTGAATTATTTATTATAATATACTTATAGGTGAAATTTTTGAGTAAAATCATAAAAAGAATGGTGTTAGTAGTTGGACTGAATTGCATTGCATCTCCTTCCGCGGTGGATGGATTTCGCCCCCAGCCTTGAACGAGCAAGTGACTGCATACAAAGGGAGTTTTGAATTCCTAAATCTGGAGTATTCATATTTATATTAAGTTGAAGAACATTTAACTAGAGTAACTTGAAATTATATCTGCTGCTTGGACAATTCAATAAAATCATAAGTAGTTGGTTAACTCTATTTTCATTAGAAAGAAAAAGTAGTTTCTTTTGCTAACAGCGTGTTCGTACTGATTTGTTATATTATCTCTCCTTTCGTCTTGGTTTATATAGATATTTCACTTTAATTTTCATTGATGCAGGTATCCTGCAATTAACAAACCAGCTGGAATTGTACACTGGCTTAAACATAGTAAAGATGCAAATAATGTTGATTGGGTGGTAATACTAGACGCCGACCAGATCATCCGAGGCCCAATCATACCATGGGAAATTGGCGTTGAGAAAGGAAGACCCGTCGCTGCATATTATGGGTAATAATACTCTCTTCCTTTTGGATACATAACCTTCTGAATGGTTGTTCAAAATATTTGAGCTTCTGAGTTGATATTAAGCTTCCACACTCGCCTAGGAAAAAAAAAAAAAAATTTCCACACTTCAACTTCTGTTTGTTGTTGCCTTTTTTTTTTTTTTTTTTTTTCCCTTGCATACAGATTTTGTTTGTTAATAAAGTTTGTTAGTTGCACTACTCACTCAAGGGCTTCTGTGCTTGCGCACTTAATTGGCTGGTGGAACAATTAGTATTATTAAGAAAACCTATAGTTTTCGATTCCAAACTCTGAAACCAATTATTTAAAATAAGACTTCGCTCCTTGCCATTAAGACTTCGTATTAACACCTTCTATTCCAAGGCAAATTGGTCTTCTTAAATGGTCTTAATCTTAGCTGCGTACAGGCGCCCATGGCCTGCTCTTTGGTGTAATATCTAACTTGTGATGGTCCATTAGGTTCCTTTATTCATAATTAACTCACTGTCTAGTGTATAAATTTCTAAAGTTATTATTATTTTTATTTTCCATATATATTCATATAATTTGAACCTCTAATTTAGAGGCCCTGAATTACCATACTATGGATTTCCTCAACCTTTCACTCTCCTTAGATTCTTAAAATATTGTCTCAAGTTGAATGACAATGAGATAAAGATTCATCTCTGTCCTCCTTATGGTTGTTACCTTTCTCCCTTGTATGATGATGCTGCACATTGGGCTCTTAAATTGAGCAATAACCCTCTTCTAAATCTTTCTTCTACTCTTTTCTTATTATGCCTTCTCTTTTAATTCTTCCAACATCCTCTTTAGGTTGACATAGATTTTGAAAAGCTCCCAAAGGTGACAACCCTGGCTTGTATGATGGCTAGGGTGAAGTTGGTGGTTCCAGATATGCTTTAGAAGAAGAGGCCTAATGAAGCCTTGTCCAAACATTTCTCTTTTGAATTGTAGAAATGCAGAAATTATAGAGGTTAGTTGTTCTTGCATGCACTGTTGATGGTGCGGCAACATGAGTGGTTTGACATGTCCAAAACCTTGTGGATGACTTCATCTCATCTTTCTCAATCTATTTTAGTGCCGACTATGGAGAGAGAGCGGATGATAATGTGATGTGTTACTTTAGCCACTGTTTATTTCATTTTGAGGAATAAAAATGATATGCTAAAATCACTTCTATAATATTCTGCAACACCCTCCCTGAAGTTGGTACACGGAGATTTTAACTCAAGTGTCCAACTTGAAACTAAATACGAAGTTGTTGAGAGTCCGAGACGGGTTGCAAAGATTCTAGACAAGTTGATCTGGAGATTTGAGACAAGTTGATCCGAAGATCCGAGATGAGTAGAGTATAGAGTAGGGTGTGATAAACGTGCTCTGATATCATGTTGAAAGATATAAAAGTTAAAGAATAAATTAAACATGAAGAACAAAAGGATACACACACGAAGCCCAAAGGGCTACATAATCTTTATTATATTCTCTCTTAATATTGTTTACAATGAGCACCTTTATTTATAGGTGAAATAATACAAGTGATAAATATGGAAAATACATTGATGGAGGGTTCCTAAAATCAATTCCATAAATCACTTCAATCAATATTCTATTATATGCTAAAATCACTCCTATAATATTCTCCAACAGCCCCCCGCAAGTTGGTAAATGGAGATTTTAACTCAAGTGTCCAACTTGAAACTAAATATGAAGTTGTTGAGAGTCCGGGATGAGTTGCAAAGATCTAAGACGAGTTAATCCGGAGATCCGAGACGAGTTGATCCGAATATCCGATACAAGTAGAATATAGAGTAGGGTGTGATAAACCTGCTTTGATACCATGTTGAAAGATATAAAAGTTGAAGAGAGAAATTAAACATGAAGAACTAAAGGATACACACACAAAGCCTAAAGGACTACATCATCTTTATTACATTCTCTCTTAATATTGTTTACAATGAGCACCTCTATTTATAGGTGAAAGAATACAAGTGATAAATATGGAAAATACATTGATGGAGGATTCCTAAAATCAATTCCATAAATCACTTCAATCAATATTCTATTATATGCTAAAATCACTCCTATAATATTCTCCAACAAGTTTTAAACATGAAATCCCACTTCTCCTAATAACTAACTTAGTTTTTGATGGCTGCTCTCTTGGAACCCCTAATACTATGGGGATTGGAAGCATGTTCAGGAACCATGAAGCAGTCTCCTGTACAATTCATGTGCCTTATGGTTTACATCTTTCTGCCTAAGCAAGTGGTTCCGTTTTCATATTGATGTTTGATATGCTTAGGGACTAAAGTTTTGTTGATCTCATGTGAGAGTGATTCCGCTATAGTCTCAGACATGGAAAGTTCAGGTCAATTAAAGTTCGTGCCCTGCACAAAGAAAATTGGTGATCTGGCTATATATATTGTGCTTTTTTTATTTTATTATTATTATTAGTTTTTGAGTTCATTCTTCTGCAAATGGAGAGGCAGATATATGCCAAATATCACTTCTTCAATAGACTCATGGAGACCATTTGGGTACTTTTCGACATTGGTTTCTATAATTATTTTGTTTATCTCAATGTTTTGTACATCTGACCCTCCCAGACCCTGCAATGGCACTGGGCTAGCCCTTTTTTATTATTATGTTTTTTTGCCCTTTCTCTAGGACTTTTTATCCTTGTATTTATCTTCTATATTGTAAACTAGTTGTTACTCATCAAATTAAATATGTGAATTTCTTCATTAGGTACCTGATTGGATGTGATAATATTCTTGCTCGATTGCATACGAAGCACCCTGAACTTTGTGACAAGGTTGGCGGACTTTTAGCCATGCACATAGATGATCTTCGAGTTCTGGCACCTTTGTGGCTTGCTAAAACTGAAGAAGTGCGAGAAGATAGAGCTCACTGGGCAACCAATATAACTGGTGACATTTATGGAAGAGGGTGGATCAGCGAGATGTATGGATACTCATTTGGTGCTGCAGAAGTTAGTTGCTTTCATTTTATTATTGTTTTTCCGCTATGAAATTGACATTTTTCTGCAGTGCGTGATTTGTTTCCTTTGGTTTTCTGCTTTTCAGGTTGGACTTCAACACAAGATCAATGATAACTTGATGATCTACCCAGGCTACATTCCACGACAGGGTGTTGAGCCCATCCTTTTGCACTATGGTTTGCCATATAGAGTTGGAAATTGGTCCTTCAGTAAATTAGAACACCATGAAGACGATATTGTTTATGATTGTGGCAGGCTCTTCCCTGAACCTCCTTATCCTAGAGAGGTAAAACGACAATAATAAATTTACAAAATGAGGAGACATTTTGTCAGAGAGATTTCTGCTTATGCCATCCCATTGTTTCACTATTCTTTGTACTCTGATAAAAAACCGTAGCTTGACATTTTTTAGGTGCCCCTAAATGATGCCCTAACTAGAAGGTCTTTGTTGTTTGATCTCGAATTGAATCTTGGAAGCTGAGGAAGAAATAGGTAGCATGTAAAAAGTTTGTTCATATAATTTTTTAGCACTCCCATCTGGGGAACCCCTTACCTCAGTACATCTGTATTAATCCACACATATACCGTACTATTTGCATGCTTAATGGAATGGAAACTAAATGTTGTGTTTAATTGACCCTTTAATACTAATTGTACTAAGCAGTTCCATTGTGTATAACTTTCAATTGAAATATTAACTAATTGTCATAAATTTTGATCTTTTAATAATCTCCAATTATACCACCAACTATTAGCTTAAGTGGTGTAGCACAAAAAGGGAAAGGTAAGGAGTTCAATTCCCAACTGGGACACGGGTGCTTGTGTATTACTTTTAAAACAAAAATCCGATTGCAAGGATTATATTAGAATTGTGACTGTAAATTTTTAGAACAGATATTTCATATGTGACTATGGCAGTACACTATTTAAATTTTAGTTATAGTGCTCCCACTCTTTTTTTATATTTCTTTCTTTAGTGAATCAAGTCAAATACAAAAGATTGATCATAAATGGTCACTGACATAGAATTCTAATTACAATGCTTAGGAGTCATGGCTTTGGGTTTGTGTGTCTAGGGAAGGATGTAATTTGTAGTAAGACGTTCTTAATCAAACTACGGCTTTACTCTTGCATTCAATTATTAGTCATTGTTTGTAAATATTTTTCCTTAGTTTGGTCCCCTGTACCATGGATCACAGTCGATAATATGTTAAATATGGGTGTTGAATTGTCAATAAACTGATAGAGGATGATTTTAAGTAGGACTTTTGTCAAGAAAATGTTAGTTTTGTCGGATAAACAGATAGCTTGTAAGATATTTAACACGGATTTATATTTAAGTTGGGGGATGATGTGGAAATTTTTACTTTCTTTTGAGCTGTAAATAAATCAAGGTATATACAAGTAATACAAGTTCAGTCTTCTCTGTAAAGAGAACAGAGGTCGTAGTACATGCTAGAGTACTAACAGATAACTTATGTGGAGAGTAAATGTCTTTGGTAGATCTGTGTGAAGACTATATCTGTGTGGGAAATTGTACTCTTGCAAATAAGCTTTTGTAGCTAAATGTCAAGAAGAAACTTAATGGTTAATACTTCTATTAATTGATATATGACAGATTTCCATTGTTCTTTCCTGGGTGGGACTAATCGGTATTCCTTCCCTGTGCTTTCAGTTTCCTAAGTGAGTGAGTTTTTTCAAGTCAATAAGAGGTCTCTCAAGCTTTAAGTGTGCTTCTATCCCTTGAGCAATAAGGGGTCCCTAGTCCTCTAATGGCTGAAATAGAACCGAGTAGGCAGCAATCTGAGTAGAAACTTAATGGTTAATAATTATATTATTTGATATATGACAGATCCCAATTGATTATTACTTAATAGACGGTTGTGTTTCATTCCTTTTCTTCTTCTTCTTCTTCTTCTTGTGTGTGTGTGGTTGTGCACGCGCGCGCGTGCGCAGCAGTAGGTAAACTGGACACTTACAAGTTTTCTTTGTACAGGTTAAAGCAATGGAAGCTGATCCCAATAAAAGAAGGGCATTGTTTTTAAATCTAGAATGTATTAACACTCTGAATGAGGGCCTTCTGTTACAGCATGCAGCACGTGGCTGTTCTAAGCCGAAGTGGTCAAAATACTTGAGCTTTTTAAAGAGCAAAACTTTTGCTGAATTAACTCGGCCGAAGCATGTAACTCCTGAGAGTCTGCAAACAAAAGAGGATGAGGTACACCAGCCGGCCTTTGGTGAATCTGGGAGGCCATATCCAAAAATTCACACCATTTTTTCCACAGAATGTAATTCGTACTTCGATTGGCAAACTGTTGGACTTGTCCACAGTTTCCACCTGAGTGGCCAGCCTGGAAATATCACAAGGCTTCTCAGCTGTACTGATGAAGACTTGAAACAGTATACAGGACACGATCTGGCACCCACCCATTATGCCCCTTCCATGAGCCGGCATCCATTAACAGGCGATTGGTAATTTTGCTTTATTTTCATTGGCTTCTTATAGGCAGGCTTTGTTGGTCTCGAGTGATTTTTTTTCAGAATGGATCTCAAATCATCTGTTTTGTTGTTTCATCTTCTTAGATTTGTGGTATTTTTCCCCTCCTCCACATTTGACCTCTTTGGCTATACACTTAAATTGACGGACCTTCCTTGTCTAGTATAACCAATTGTTCCTTCTTCTTCAGTTAGTTCCACGTTGAAAATTTCATTGAAGTGTCAAATAAATGTTTACTTATCATAGGGGCTGATAACTTTGTATATTTTGGATTTCGTTGCGTCTGTCAGATGCTCATTAGGGACCTATTAAACATTGCATTTATGCACTACACAGTCCATCATTACCACAATGCATAAATGATCAGAATGCATGCATCACTGATCCCATTACATTCTTTCCGTAAAGCTAAACTATTCTGTAGCTTAGTCTTTGGAAAGTATACCCTTGATAAATTTTGAAGTGTATAATTGCCTTACTACCGTTCACTTGCTCTAGTTAAAATGGAGAAAAGGTCTGCAGTGCATATAATGATGTAGAAGTTAATGAAATTTTGGTTTTATTTGTGCCACATCAGGTATCCAGCAATCAATAAACCTGCTGCAGTGCTTCATTGGCTTAATCATGCGAATATTGACGCAGAGTTCATAGTAATATTGGATGCTGACATGATCATGAGAGGACCGATTACACCATGGGAGTTCAACGCAGCACGTGGCCAGCCAGTTTCAACTCCGTATGAGTAAGACAACAAATTGGTTTTATTCCTCCCTTTCATTTCTAGGTATATAGGGTCATGAGCATTTAAATGTGTTTTGGGGTGTGGGTGCATCTTTGTATATATTGTTTAAGCAATTTTAGTTGCATGAATATTATATATATATATATATATATACACCTGTCACTTACGTTCCCATTTTAACCTTTTAGCTACCTCATTGGCTGTGACAACGAGCTTGCAAAAATCCACACGAGCCATCCTGAAGCTTGTGACAAGGTTGGTGGTGTAATCATAATGCATATAGATGATCTCAGGAAGTTTGCGATACTATGGCTGCATAAAACTGAGGAAGTCCGGGCTGACACCGCACATTATGCCAGAAATATTACTGGAGATATATATGAATCTGGGTGGATTAGTGAGATGTATGGTTATTCCTTTGGTGCAGCAGAGGTATTGGCTTCCATTGCTTTATTCCATTTAATCCTGCATGTTGGACTGTAGAAAATATGGACACCTTTGATTGAGGCCATTTTATAGTTTTAATGATGAAAACCTATTATTGTTCTATTATTGGTGCAGTTGAATTTGCGGCATCTCATAAACAGTGAGATACTGATATATCCGGGGTATGTTCCTGAACCTGGTGTCAAGTATAGAGTTTTCCACTATGGTTTGGAATTTAAAGTTGGAAATTGGAGCTTTGATAAAGCAAATTGGAGAAATGTTGACTTGGTGAATAAATGTTGGGCTAAGTTTCCTGACCCTCCTGATCCTTCGACACTTGATCCAACTGATGAGAACTCGCTACAGCAGGACTTGCTTAGCATAGAATGTGCAAAGACGATGAACGAAGCTCTACGTTTACACCATGAGAAGAGGAAATGCCCTGATCCCAGTTCCTTTTCCACCTCAAATTGGAAAACAGCCAAGGAAGTTACAACTTCAAGGAAATTTGGCAATTTTAATGGCAGTCATGTTACAAGAAGTAACACATTGCGGATGAATAATTCACAAGAATCATCATTGCCTGCTGTGACAAGCCAGACATTTAGTTCTTTGCGGTTTTGGATTGTTACTCTATGGGTTTTTTCTATCTTCGGTTTACTGGCAGTAATAGCTATGATGCTTTCAGGCCGTAAAGGACAGAAGAAAAGAGGTAAAACTCTTAAGGCCAAAAGAAAACCCTCAAATTCAGGATTCCCAGATATGAATGGTCATGATTGGCATCACCGCACTGCTGAAAGATCATCATAGCAACCCTAAATTCCTGGCGAGAACAAGGACACAATATTCTGCAGGTGGAACATGACAGAACTGGAAAGGGTACCAAAACAAACACGGGGAAATTCATTGGAACTTGGAACACGGCTTCTTGAAATGGAAGAGAACTAAGTTCCTGTACTGTTTGGAATTGGGCAGTTCATGTCAAACTTTCATCAAATGCCGTATACCCATTTGATAATCTTCCAATTTTCAGTATTTATTGACTTAGATCGAGTTAACTTTGAGATTGTAATCTTTTGCATATAGCGGAGCATGGCAAAGGGTCTGGATTGAAGAGCAATAAAGGCTTGGAATTGAAAATCTTTGTCTGTAACTTTCATTTTTTCTTCACTGCATTCTGTTCGGTTCTGTTCGAAATTTACTAATCTATAATTCTCTCCATTATTCCGATGCTTTTATAACATTTTCCTTTTTTCACTCTGAGGGGCATTTTTGGCATGTTGTTTGGTAGGCAAGTTACTTCAACTATGACACCCAATTCATGATTGTGGCTAAACAATTCATTCATCAAAATGATCAAAAGTTCATGCACGATGGGCAAAAAATTTCAAATTTTAACTAGATAAAGGTTGTAATCAAAATACTAAACTAGAATATGACTTTTTGTCCATTGTACAAACACTAAGCCAGAGCATAACTAGGCGACATCAGTAACACAGCCTCCCATCTTTTTATCCATTCAAAGACGAGCTACACTTAAATTAGCATCAAGCATTTGGCTCTATGGAAAAAATGCGTCCTCAGCAGCAAGCTTATGGATCATACTTTTTTAGCAACGCATGATAAGTGGTGTTCTCTGGCGATGTCTCCTGTGTAAAATCATTTTATATCTCGTGCATTTCTGGATTCGAATGACTTCTGATATTTAAACTTCTGCCTAGGGCCTAATGTTTATCCTCGGTTATATTCAGCAATATCGTTGATGAGTTTGTAGTGTTGGCTCTTTCATTCTGTTGATGCGTCCTAGGCCATCCAAACTAGGACAAAAGCTCAGTTCCAGCACAATTCAAGTTATAATCTCCCCAATTCCTCAGGCATCATCGACCAAAAAGGTGTCTCCAAAGAGTATAGGGCAAAAGAATAATGGATCCCCGTGTTCTCGCACTACACTACCTGAAAATGATTACACATTAGAAATAGATTCCATATGCAGCATTGATCAGTAAAACAATTGTTTCGCATTTCAGTTTATACGGGGAGCATAATTGAATTGAAATTGTCAGTGCTGAAAGCTAAAAGCTATATGACATGGAAGCTTTATAACAAAACTGCCAGACAAATGGGCTCCCTCATTAGCAATAAGTAAACAAATTATGAAGCAGAACATAACCAAATAAGTGAATATGCAGATAAATTCTAGAACATAAATAACAATCATCCATTCATCACCATACCAGTTAGAAATATATGAAACTTTGGCGGAAAATAAAAATAACTGAAAATTCGTAAGAAGCAAAACAGCACTAAACAGTTCATACTTGAAGCAGAACATAACCAAATAAGTGAATGTGCAAAATGCTGGTCGTGTGTCTACCTATTAACTTAATACTTGTGTTTAGTTCAAGGCCTTCGTACCTCAAAGCAATATCCTTTCTCATGCAAAGCTTGAAGAAGAAACATTCTAATGGACATAAGGCCAACAACAGCATGATAAAATGTGCTGCAGCACACTGTAGGTTGATTGCCTTTAGATCCTGTTAAATCTCGGCAATATAAGTGACTCGTAAATTCAATAATGGACTCCAGTTCATCAAATGCCAAAGCCTGTAGCACAAGATTCTCAACATTACCATAACCTCAGGCCAATAAACTTGCAAGTCCCATAAAACCACCTTTTGAGAATAACATCCAATGACACAAGGTTCTCAGCATGACTATATAACCTTGAGACTCAATGTGTTTCTGAAGACATCTATCCTCATGCTCAGCTCAGTTCAAGATCCTGTACCATTTTTTCACAAATTTTCTCTATTTTTTTTAGGAAACAAGTCAATTGCAAGCCCAAAAAGCCACACTCTGATATGGTTGCTTCTGTATTTCAGTACATTGAGGCTTCATTAAGGACCTAATCATACCTTCACTGAGACAGAAATTTTAGGTTTGATGGAAAGAGCAGATTACAGTCAACTTGAGAACATGAAACTGTGACCCAGAAAGCAGCATATTTTTATATGGCCATCCTTATACAGTGGATGCACTCAAGTCATTTGCCCCTTTACTGCATCATCAAAGCTACTTCTAAATAAGAAGGCCATCTTCTCATTGAAAATTCAAATTATCTCAGTAGCATCAAGCTCTAATGCTCTGAAAGAAGTCAATTCTGAAGCCGCTTCTGAGTCAAGGATCCTACTGAAAAAATAAAATAAAATCAGCTTCAAGAAGATATTGGGTTAAAAAATTATATGCAATGCAAGATGTTGCTGGAATTTTCAATAACAAAGCATAGCAGACCAAGATTTCCATGCAATTGGAACACGAGAGCTGCTAACTCACCAAAGTTGGTCGTATACACTTCAAAATTGACATCATACTTCAAAAAGAGTAAATACTGATAAGAAAAATGTTATGCAGCTAATTCAATTTAATATAAATACTGATAAAAGCATTAAGGTTTATTGGATATGCCTAGGATGCAAATGCCATAAAATATTCCAATCATGCTGTTTCAACAATCCAGGAATTAAAGAATATATTATAATCTACCTAATTAAAGGCTTTCAATTTCAATACAAAAAACTATAACGCTAAAGTTTCTGGAGAATTCAGAGGAAAATATTCTTATTAAATAATAGTTTATTATTAAAAAAAAATTGGGGTAAATGATTCATTAAAAAATTGAATTTTCATCTTGGTTTTGTTTGTTGTTCAGACATGAGAATTATTGTGTAAAGAAACTTTCATCAAGTATTTGGTCATATCCTCTAAATTAATATTATTCAACTCCAATTAGCAAGTAAATCATATCTAGCTTCATCAACATAGTATGATAGTATTAACAACAAATGAAAGAACAAAAAGAGGAAAAATGGAATGTTGCAGCATGTTTTAAAAGTCACTCAATATACTTGCTACATCTTCTCAAAGAATTTCCCAAATAACACAATGAAGTGGTCAGCAATTCAGCAGCAATATTATGTAAATTGACTATGTTATAATAAAGAAATTTCTATGAACTTGCCTAAATGAATCTGTAGTTTCTTGAAAGCTGCACAATCAATCACATCAAACCCTTGCATCTTTTGTCCACCTCTTCAAGATATATTGAGTCGGGATCACCTTTATGTTCCTATAGTCAAGCACCTTCAATGCATGGCTACACAAAACTCCAATAAACTGAAACTTCTTGCAGTTGCAGACAACTGAATCTTCTGATGAGTTAAATATAACCACATACTCTCGTTGTTGTCCATATATGCTAACTTTGTACTCAAACAATGACCCTCTATCGGTACATTGGTTTACAACAGCATTTAGAGAATTTTCGTATTCTTGCTGAAACAATTCAAAATTTTTTGGTGTGTATATATTTCTTGCCTGCTTCAATAAAATCACATCCCCCATTAGTCTCGGCATATGTTGGCTCATATCATAATTAGCTTCTAACTCTTTGTAGCGCCAATCATTCACCACCTTTCCAAATTGCTTGAAAAATTTAAGTACATCCAAGTCAGACTTTAGGTATTTCCTTAAGTTAGTTGTGAAACTCTCAGAGAGTTGTGCATTTATCATATCAGCACAAAAAAAATGCCTTTGGTATGGTATAGCCCATTTCTCTCTTTCTTTAAATATATCGTGCAACCACTCATTTTCTGAAAGATCATACGTATCCAGCATAGCCTTCCAAGCATTAATGAAATCTTCCTCCTCATCGTGATGAAACATGCAACTGCCTAAATCATTGGCAAAAGAATCTGAACCCATAATTACCTTGCTTAGGTGTTTGAGTGCATTCTGGTACACATGCCACACACATAAGTGCTGGTGTGTTTCTGGTATTACCGAATTGATTGCTTCAGACATTATTGCATGTTGATCAGTAAGGATCGTCTTTGGCTTTTTTCCAGACATTGTCTCAATGAAAGTCCGAAATAGCCACTCGAATGATTCAACAGTTTCATCATATAGAAGTGCTGCACCAAAGATAACCATCTGCTTATGATGATTCACTCCAATAAAAGGTGCAAAAGGCCGGCAATATTTGTCTAGTCTATAAGTCGTATCAAAACAAACCACATCCCCAAAATCACCATAGTCCACCAGCATCTTTGCATCAGCCCAGAATACATTGGTTATTTCATCTTCTGCATCAACTTGTACAGCATAGAAGAAAGATGAGTCTTTTAGTTGCTTGTCCTGAAAATATTGAAGAATACTTTCTGCTTCTCCCTGCCTCATTTCTCTCTTACGTTTGCATAGTAGTTTACTATTATAATCTATGGGATGATAATCAAAATTTCCCTGATCCCCAGCTGGCTTGCATATTGACTCAGGAGCTGATTTTGATAGCGTATTAGAGCTGTTTGCTGCACTGGCTTCTGAAGCTGACCTCTTTTGTGACCGTAACATGCGGACTCTACATGCGGGTACAAGCTCATGATTGTGATTTTCTTCAAAATGAGTAATGCGATATTTCCCATCAGGTTGACGAGCAATGATCAATTGTGCTAAGCAACCAATTCTTGTTTCTTTTCGAGGTCTCTTCACATTCAAATCCCGTTTGTCTCTTTGCCGAAAACCTTCTCTAAAACAAGTGAACCTTCTAGATGCCACAGCACCATCTATCTTACTTCTGTTTACATAATCCTTCCGAACACTAAAACCTACCTGTCCTGCATATGCATTGTAAAACTCATAAGCATGATCTTCTGAGACAAAGCCCATTCCGAGCTTTGGCACCCCATCCGTCGCAGAGTTATTAGCTAATTCAGCTTCAACAGCTTCAGCAAAAGTTATTCTCCTTTGTGATGGTAACAAATGAGCTGTGATTGGTGTTGCCAACTCATGATTGTGTTTTGTTTCAAAATGGGCGACACAATACTTGCCATTGGGTTGACGGGCAATTGTCAGATGTGCCAAGCAACCAGTTCTTGTATCCTTTCGAGGTTTCTTTACATTTGCATCACGCTTGGTAGGCCGATAACCTTGCTTATGACAGGTGTACCTTCTTGAGATTACTAAACCATTAATCCTACTTTTATTTACAAAATCTTTCCTAATGCTGAAACCTTCCAAAGCAGCATATCTGTTGTAGCACATATATGCGCGGTCTTCTGATTCAAACTCCATGCCAAGTTCTGGGACCACATATATGTCAGTTTCATCTTTTACAGAATGACAAGACCCTGATCTGTCAACAGGTGCAACATCTGGGCTCTGATACTCCAGCTTACCATCAATAATGTCCATCCCTTCCCTGTCTACGCAGAAAACTTCCGAAATCTGGTCCTTGTGCTCACCATCAGTGTCCATCCCGTGTTTGTCAACAGATGTATCTTTTGGACTCAGGCACTCACACTCACCATCTATGACTATCCCATTTTTATTGGAAGAGAAACCTTTTGAGCTCCGAAACTCGTGGTCACCAAAAATGGACTGCCCATTCTCCTCAGCAGAGGAAACGTTTGGGCTCAAGCATATTTGCTGCCCAATAATGTCTGCCCCATTCATTTCAGCAGAGGATTCATTCTGGTCTTGACACTCCTGAACCACATCAGCATCCAACGCAAACAATATTTGGGATTTGTCTTCTATATTCTCTTCATGTGGATGACTTGATATAGCAGCCTCAACAGTATCCATGGGCCTTCATTATGAAGGAGAAAAAAATAAAATAAAAAATAAAAAATGAAATGTATATGTAATACACATTGGATTTATGCCTTGTACAAACTACATGAAAACAAACATATATCACCCGCGTCTGATGTTAAACATGAACAAGCGCTCCACTACCTTCAGCAGAGTTAACATACATTAGAATATGATGTAGAAGTTCAGAGTTCACTAGTTGGTATCTGTTATACTAGACTGTAAATTCAACAAGTAAGAATGCAACCAATCTTTTTTTTTTTTTTTTGTGTGTGTGTGTGTGTGTTGGGGGGTGGGGGAGGGAGGAGTAACAATATAACATTGCTTCCACTAAGAAAGAGAGAGCACGAGAAAGCTTGACGTAGGAAAATACTTGGCCTTAAGGGACGAATGACTCGCCAGTAAATTATACTTGTGTTTCAGTCTACAAGTTGATGTTTATATCCAAGGTTTCAATTGACTCGATGAACAAAAGATGGTATGGGTTTGAGTTTTTGTAATGATACCCAATTCGTCAAAAATGATTCTTTCAATGCTATCAGCAGACAAGCCAAAGAAACAAACGACTTAAAAAGTGAACTAATAAGTCTAAGTCTCCAAAATCTAAGAGACAATGTTGTCTTCTGTGTCTGTAAGCCATTACATATCAAATGACCAATACACAGAAATATATATATGTGTGTGTGTGTGTGTGTGTGTGTTAAGAACAAGATATTCCATACCAAAATGCGAACAATAGTACTCAATGTATCAAATATGCACTTTTTTGAAAGAGAGATTACAATTTCTAGTAGTGCCCTAACGCCGCAAACAGAAGATTCTGTGATACCCAATTCATTATCAATAAAAGTTCACGTCGTATATACATAAATTCGTGTTTATATAACATATTCATACACGCATAATTACATACATGCATGTGTACCAAAATGAAGGGAACAGAAAGAGAACCTGGCAGATAAAAGGGAACAGAGAGGGGAGAGAGAAAATCGGTCAGAATTGCAGTACGAGAGATGGTTCACAGCGAGGAAATATATAAATACACACACACGTATATATGTAGTGTGATCGTTGGATCTGTACCAGAGAAATCAGAATTTTAGGACTTCTTCAGCTGCTCGGTGCTAGGAGAGAGAGTACGAGCAAATAGAAGAATTTCTTTTTGGTGAAAGAAAAGGGAAAGGAAATGTAATTTTTTTAAAAATTAAATTAATTAATTATCTGAGAATACATAAAATTGGAACTGTTGAGAAAATGGTAGGAGTATAAGATAATTCTATAAAAACTTCTTTTTTAATTAAGTTTTAAGAAAATTCTACTAAATATTTTTGTTTGGATAATTCTCTGAAAATGAAAATTTTGACAATGCAAATCTTACATACTTTATATAATAATAAAAAATTGCACATTTTTTCACATGACGTGGCTCACCAATATCTTCTATAAAATTATTTTTTTTAATTAAAATTTTCGAAACAGTCTACTAAATAAATATTTGTACAATTCTCTGAAAATGGAAAATCCAACAATACAAACCTTATATTTCTCATTTTAACTTTAAAAATTAAAAAAAATTCCCTATACATTTTTCCTTCAAAACTTTGCCTACTTTTTTTTTTTCATTTTTTTATTTCCATTGTCAAGAAACTCATAAGATTTTCATTTTCTTTTTCATTTTCATTTTCATCTAATATCGAAGTAATTAGAAAGAAAAATAAATGAAAATTTTTAAATTCTTTTGTTTTATTTATCTTTAATTAGAATTGTCATTTGTTCAATATATTATTAGGATTGGTGAAATAAATATGACTACAAATTTATAATTAATCAAAACATTATCATATACCGTATGCATCCTAATCATTAGGGTACCAAAGGAAATTTTCACTTGTTTTCTTTGAGATTTCACGTTGATTTCAATATGAAGCCCTTCACGTTTTCCAATAAAAAATTACATAAACATTGAACATATCTACAACAATTTCTAGATTTTGTGAAACTAAAATTAGTAATACAAGTGACTCAAAAAGAAAAGTATAAACTTGGACAAAACATAATGTTGTCACCTGAGGATAACCAAATTTATATGTATACAGACCATATAGGTGTAATTAGTAAGTAAAAAGATAATTGTCTATGAAATATATTTTGCTCGTCTTAATAGTAAAATTATTATTTTGAAATGTTATTTGAGTATTGTTTTTCGAACGGCAGCAAAAAAATGAATGATTGAACGAATCTACTGTTGATAGTGGCGAATCAAATACGGGCAACTGTGGAGTGTGGTGATGTTATTTGAGTATTGTTCTTCGAACGGCAGCAAAAAATGAATAATTGAACAGATCTACTGTTGGTAGTGGCGAATCAGATACAAACGACTGTTGAGTGTGGGCAATAACGGATTCAGTAAATTAAAACTCTCTTTATAAGGTGGGTCTCTTAAAAAAAATAATAATAATAAAATTAAAAAATAATAATAATAATAGCCTCATGTGTATGGCTCAATCTGACCAATCAAATTGGTCCAGCAAACCTCACAAAGAATGGATAATTGAACGGATCTGCGGTCGGTAGTAGTGAACCAAATACGGACGACTGTGGAGTGTGGTGATGAGGGAAAAAAAAATATATGAAATTGCAATGACCGGTTAAAGGGAAGGAGAAAGCGCAATAACCAGTTCAGTAAGTCAAAACTCTCTTTTCAAGGTGAGTGTCTTAAAATAAGAGAATTAAAGATAAAAAATAGCCTCATATGTATGGCTCAATCTGACCAATCATATTGAGCGACTGACAACAACAGTCGCCTTGCTAGCAAACCTCACAAATAATGGATGATTGAACGGATCTATTGTCGGCAGCGGCGAATGGGGCTGTGGAGTGTGGTGATGAGGAAAAAAAGAAAGAAAATGAAAATGCAATGACTGGTTAAAGGGAAGGAAAAAACGCAATAACAGGTTCAGTAAGTCAAAACTCTCTTTTCAAAATGGATCTTTTAAAACAAGAGAATTAAAGGAAAAAAAAATATCTACATGTGTGATCAATTTGACCAATCAAAAATCGCCTTAGGTGACTGTTGCTAGCAAACCTCTTTTACAAATAGAGAATTATTTTAACTAGTCCCTAAAAAATGAAAAACCTATACTTATTTTAAACTTAACCAATTGGATCATGGTTTGAACCGGATCGATGTTCACCCCAGCATTATATTTTAATTTGAAGTCTATTAAGATGGCCTTCGAGTATCATGTCAATAGATTAGATAATACATATATTTTAGCAAAAAGAGGGAGAATGAATATATACTCCTATATTTTAGCAATTTGACAAAAAGAAACATTCTGAAAATATAAAAATATTATATATTATATTCTATCCACCATAATTTATATCTGATTAAATGAATTACAAATCATCCAATATTCATATTTCAATCCATATACATAGCATTAAGCCCAATCCACGCTTAACTTTGAGTCACCAGTTGGACTCAGTTTTGGGCTAAAATCAGGCTTTAATTGGCCAGGTTTTATCGAAGGAACTTTTTAGCGAGACCAACAAGGAACCTCCTTACTTGTGGATACAACTGAAATGTAAAAGATATACATACACACATTGACATTTGACATTTGACATTTGACATTTGACCACTTGACACACCACAAATTAAAATTTCAATTTCCACTAATCATCATAGCAGTTTTGGTAACACGAAGAAGCTTCCTACGTGGCATCAATTGGCTTTTGGGCCTCTTGCGAATTTATTAACATAGAAGTGGCATTACTACTAATGCATTTACACAATTGAAAAAACAAAAAAGAAAAAGGAAGGAATCATTTAACTATAATTTAGTAGTCCCAAACAATCACATTTCTCCCACCAAACACCATCCTTCATCTCCATCCACCTGTTCCCAAACAAACCCCACATCACAAAAACTCATGTTATCGTCATCATCACTATTATTATCCTCCCTGATTTCAACGGCATCATCACTATTATTATCCTCCCTGATTTCAACGGCTCCTGATGCAATCTCAGATCCAGAAATCAAATCATGATGAAACAAATCACAATCTGAGAAACCACATGACCCTTCATGGTCATAAACATCATCTGAGTAACAACCTGAGCCAAAATAAACATCAGCAACATCATCATCATTATCATCCAAGTAGTCATTATCCAAATGATCCAAAATCCAAGTAGCCGAAAACCCGGCAAAGTTCAACCCGGGTTTACCATCCACGACCCGAGAAGTGACCAAACCAGCGACATCGCGAGAACGATTCTTCTGGGTGCCCTTAGCCTTGGGCTTGGACTTGCAAGCCGGGTGGAGGTGACACCCGGCGCACTTGGGTCGGCCACACTTGCCGGTGAACTTGGAGTGGTTAGTGGGCTTCGATGAAACCTTGGTGAACAACCCGAACGTGGGTGGTGAATGGAATTTGTTGACGTAATTGGATTCGGGTCTGGTGTTCCACGGTAATGGCAAAATCGGATAGTTCCGAACCACACCGTGTTGACGACCTTCTCTCTTCATTTCTCTCTCTTTTTTGTTGAGCCTGTAATGTGATGAAAGCTGAAATAGGCTATAGATATATATATAGTAGACAAGAGTGGATGGGTTTCTTTCTTTTATTTTTTAGAGAGAGAAAGTAGTTTGATTGGAATACTTGGGAAGCAAGGTGGTGGTAAATTGGTCAAGGTCCGTGTTGGCCAAGTTCATCCATATCTATATCTATATATAATAATAGAAAATGATATTTTTATATTCCCAAATAAACTAAGTTTGAATAATTTGCGGGGAAAAAGAAAAATAAGTTGGTAATGACAAATGGATTCTTAAAGGTGTGTGACAAATGGATCCTTATTAATTGGATATGCTTGTAATTTTATTTAGATGTTTGCTAGCAAATAGTGGCATGCGTGTCTGCCTGACTCCCTCATTCCATCTAATTGGACGACTGAAGCCGAACCTTGAAGATTTATTTTTATTTTTTATATAATGATAATAACAATAATTAAGAGAGAACTTTTTTAATATTAATAAATAAAAAAAAAAATAGATGAAATAGACATAATAAAAGATAAATGAAATAGAGTGATTATTATTTTGGATAAAGTGTATTAAATCCTGAGCTTTCTTCTTGAAGATGCAAGAAATTCCTACTATTCTTTCTCTCTCTAGAATTCTTACACCTCAACCCGAAAAAGATCCCTCTCCTCTTCATTCCAACTCCTATTTATAGATACTTACAAGATATTTACAAGATATTTGCAAGATATTTTCTGATTGCTGGACCTGGGCCTATTCCTCTGTAAGCCCTAGTCACCCTTGATGGGCTTACTCCCGCTCGGCCCATATGGCAGTGTCTTCTATGGGCTGACCCAGCCGTTCGGACTGAAGGTTGTGTTTTGCGAGTCGGACCTGGCCCATGTCATCCGGGGCCTCCTCAACTGCCCCCATAATTGCCCCTTATTTAATAAGGGGTAATTATTGATGGCGTCTCATCATGACGCTAACGGCTCGAGATAACCACGTGGGGGAGCGGACGGTCAGATCCAGAATCAATGTTCCGGGGCTCGAGGGATTTCTTGCCTTCCCGACGCTTCGGCCCTCGAGCCCCCTCGCCTTTATAATGCTCTAGAATTCCACTTCACTTCCCTTTACCGTCTCCATCATCAGCCAAGTCTCTCTCTTTCTAGAACAGTGCTAAGCCTTTTCCGGTGAAATCCTTCGAGAGTCATTCTTCCAGCGATCTTGCAGTCCTCCGAGGTTAGTTTCGTTCTTTTTACTTTCGGCAGGCTTCCATTTTTCCCTCTTTTAGATTCTTCTAGCTTTTCCACCATGGTTGTAGATCTAGATGTTCTTCGTATGAGACTTAGACTTCCTGACAACATCGAAGTTAGGGTTTGCCCCCAAGACGTTAATATTACGACCGGCGCCGGCCTCCTGCCCGGCGAAGTCTTATTCACGAACCTTCAATTGAATGTTGTTAGGTTCCCTCTGCACCCTTTCTTTAGTTATGTCTTCAATAGATTGGGGATATCCCCTCTGCAGGTCAACCCCAACTTCTTTAGGATCATATCTGTTATGCTCTTATTGATGCGTGACAGAAATCTGGATCTCGACCTCATAGACCTCCTTCTGTGCTATAAGGTCAGTAAGATCCGTACTAACGAGCCCTTCTACCACCTCTACCCGTTCGAAAAGATGTCAATATGCACTGACACAATAAAATCTGAAAAGGGTTGGAGGGATAGCATAGTGGGCATTAGTGGGGCTTGGTCTTCGCCGGCTGCAGAGGATTACCCAATCCCGAGCGCCTTTGGTGTCTGCTCTGTCTCCTCCTATAAAAATATTCAAATCCCATAAACATGACTGCCCCTGTGAAACATGCGTTCCTCGTTTTTGCACTTACTTATGCCGCTCCTTGGGAATACCTTGTGATGACTTGAGCTATAGTGTTTGCAGGGATAGGAGTAACTACTTGAAGAGATACGTTCTGAACGATATTCCTTCCTGCTCAGATCTCCTCACTTCAGACAACCTCTTTGCGCTCTCATCACTCGGCTACAACATGAGCAGACTGCAGATTCCCTCTTTTGGCAGGAGGAAAAATACTCCCCCAGCCACTCCTGCTGCTGGGGCGACCTCCTCTCCAGCGTCGGCTTCTTCTTCAGCCACCATATCTGACACTGTCCCGAGCGCAGTGGCTACTAACCCTGTTGCCAGCGCCCCTGCTGCCAACCAGAACGCGCCCTCCCCAGCTACCATAGCTCCTGCTGCTGCGGGGGGTGGTCGGGACAAAGAGCGAGGCAAAAGGCCTCATCCTGACAGTGAAATCGATCCGGAGGAGGAGCCTCTCATTAGAAGGACCCGGGTCTCTGGGCCGGGTACTCTCTTGCACCGAGCGATCAGAGCTCCTTCTCCCTCTGGGCCTCCCGCAGCTGGTGGCTCTGCTTCTGCTTCGGGCCCCCCTTCTATCCCCAGCTTACCGCCATGGGCCCCTCGGTACACCCGAACGGATGGGACGTTCGTGAAACCGAACGAGACCATGCTGAAGGATGGCCAGACCGCTATGGCCTACTACAGGAGCATGTGGACTCCGAAGGACCTTGAGGCGGCAAAGGGTCTTTCCCAGAAGGACATGTTCAGTCGCTTTCCCCAATCTGCTATGGAGGTGACTTTTATTTTCTAACTCATGAATTCTCTCATATTACTTGGTCCTGCCTTCGCCCGTTCTGACTATTGGTTTAACCGTGATGGCCATGCAGAAGCAGGTGGAGATGGGGAACGCCAGGGCCCGAAAGTATTCTGACAGCCTGGAGGTGGCTAATAAAGAAAACGACCTCCTTGCCATGAAGAATACCGAGGTGCTGGTTCGGCTTGACAAAGCCGAGCAAGAGAGAGATGTCCTGAAGAAGGAGAATGATTCCCTTCAGGATGAGAAGGACGCCCTCCAGCTTGAGAAGAGCGTCTGGCAGACTGAGCGGGAATCAATCAGAGAAGAGAAGGCAGAACTCCAGCGCCTTCTAGCTGATGAACAGTCTGCTCGGATGGCTTTTGAAAAAAGAGCTCTCGACGAGCGTACCGCTCTGATCGACGCGATCAGCAGAGTGGGTGGTGGGATGCTGGCCCTTCACGCTCGGTTCTCCAGGGTCGGTGCTCTTCGGTATGCTCAAGGATTCCGGGAAGGTTTCGCCGACCGGGTTCCGGATGAGGGACAGACCAGCTCCACTCCGGATGAGGTAGACAAGGATCTGGGAATCGAACCTCTGGGGGTCTATGTCGACCCAGAACCCACCGAAGCTGAACGTATATTTGATGAGTGCCAGGACATCGCATCCTCAAGGATCATCACCGCTCCTCCTACTGCTCTGCCACTGACTGCTCCCCAATCGTCAACCGCGGCTCCTTCTATAGCCACTGCTGACGCTGAACCCCAGCCGAACGATTCAGTCATTCACCTGGATTCCCCACCTCACGAGGGTGAGGCGGCTGATGGGGCCGAGGAGGCGAGTCGGCAAGACCAGGATGCTGTTGGTACTGAGGCGTCTAGCTAGGGCTCCTTCAAATTCTTCTAGTTCATATCTTCTTGTAATGATGGACATCTCTCTTTTGTAAACTCAATGTTCAATATTAATGAAATGACAGAACTCTTTTTCCCTATGTGTTGTGCTTTATTCAACTTATCTTCAGTACATACATATCTTTTCTCTCTTTTTCTTTTTATATTAGCTTCGCCGTGTGTTTGTACGGCAAGTGCCTGGCGCTCGGCTAGAATGCCACTTGCCACTTGGCTTTAAATTTTTAGCAAGTGTCTGGCGTTCGGCTTATAGTGCCAGCTGCCACTTATCTTGCTTAAGTGCCTGGCGTTCGGCTAGAATGCCACTTGCCACTTGGCTTTAAATTTTTAGCAAGTGTCTGGCGTTCGGCTTATAGTGCCAGCTGCCACTTATCTTGCTTAAGTGCCTGGCGCTCGGCTAGAATGCCACTTGCCACTTGGCTTTAAATTTTTAGCAAGTGTCTGGCGTTCGGCTTATAGTGCCAGCTGCCACTTATCTTGCTTAAGTGCCTGGCGCTCGGCTAGAATGCCACTTGCCACTTGGCTTTAAATTTTTAGCAAGTGTCTGGCGTTCGGCTTATAGTGCCAGCTGCCACTTATCTTGCTTAAGTGCCTGGCGCTCGGCTAGAATGCCACTTGCCACTTGGCTTTAAATTTTTAGCAAGTGTCTGGCGTTCGGCTTATAGCGCCAGCTGCCACTTATCTTGCTTAAGTGCCTGGCGCTCGGCTAGAATGCCACTTGCCACTTGGCTTTAAATTTTTATAGTAGACCATTGGAAAAGAAAATTCTTTTTTTGTAAATTCCAGTAACTTGCTCATTCATACGTATTTGATTGACAACAAATAACATCCAATTAAAGCCAGAACTTAGCTTCTATTGGTAGTACCTCTTCAGAGACGTGGCGTTCCAGGGCTTGCTGACCAACTTTCCCGCCATGGTTTCCAACGTATATGCCCCTTTGCCAATGACTTCTGCAATTCTGTATGGGCCTTCCCAGGGTGGCATCATTTTTTTGACCATCCCCACCTTTCTTTTCAGAACCAGATCGCCCGGGGCAAAATCCCTGTGTTTTACTCTCTTATTGTGACTATTCGCCAGCACTTGCTGATACGATGCTAGCCTTATAGCCGCTGCGTCCCTCCTTTCGTCTATCATGTCGAGGTTCAATCTTAACATCTTGTCGTTCTGATCTCGACTCCATGCTAAGCTTCTGATAGTGGGGACTAAATGCTCAACCGGTATAACTGCTTCGGTACCATACGCCATTGCGAACGGGCTCTCCCCAGTCGGCCGCCTTGGGGTGGTTCTGTAAGCCCATAGAACGTTCGGGAGTTCATCCAACCACTTCCCCTTATGATCTTCCAGCTTCTTCTTAATGCAGGCGAAAATGGTTCTGTTTGTGATTTCTGCTTGTCCGTTAGCCTGAGGATGACTTACTGCAGCCAGCTTCTGGTTGATTCCATACTCCTCCAGCAGCTTTCTTACTTGCCTGCTGTCGAGGTTTGTGCCATTGTCCATGACTATTGTTCTGGGAACACCGAAGCGGCAGATAATGTTGTTCCAGATAAATCGTCTCACCTGAGTCTGAGTCACGCTAGGATACGGTTCTGCCTCCACCCA